GAGAGAGAGAGAGAGAGAGAGAGAATCCCAAGCAGTCCCCGCACCATCAGCCCAGAGCCCGATGCAGGGCTCAAACCCACAGAGTGAGATTGTGACTTGAGCTGAAATCAAGAGTAGAACGCTTAACTGTCTGAGCCACCCAGGCGCCCCTAGAAGGAAAGCTTTTTAAGACCCAGCTGTAGGCAGAGGAGTTGGTCAGTCCACACCAGACCTTGCTAAGAGTCTGCTCAGAAGCAGTGGGTCAGCGGCACTTGGCTGGCTCAGTAGGAAGAGCATGTGACTTTTGATCTCGGGGTCATGAGTTTGAACCTCATATTGGGTATAGATATTACTTAAATAAATAAAACTTAAAAAAAAAAAGGCAGTGGGTCTGCTGGAACTAAGGGTGGGGCACTAAGGGTGGGCAGATCATGACCTAGGGGTGGGACCAATGGGTCACAGACAAACAGAAACACACTCTGTGTGTGGGAAGATGCCAGGTGGGCCTAAAGTCCATGAGGATCACAGTGTGGTGGGCATGGTGACTATCAAGGCCCTACTGTGGCACAGCTAGCCCTAGAGAAGCCCCAGAGAAGCACTTACCGTTTAGCCCCATCATAATCTCCACCAATCCCAATGAACTTGGATCCAATGACTGCCTTGATGTAGTCAAAGTGATCTGGGGGATGAAGGGTCAGCAGTGTGGGGCTTCTAGGACAGGGGTGAGGTGGGGACTGGTCTCTACTGATTCCCCTTCTTGCAGCCTGTAGGCTATGGAGGCCAATTCCTTCATGGCTTGGCACCCAGTGTGCCAACTTGAGGAGGTAGATTCCAGTTGGCTCTAGACTGGAATTTAGATTTGGAGTGGACCCCAGTTGGCCATTTCTCATTCAGGATTCACCTTGCCTCCAGTCTCCTTGAGAACCATGGGGGCCCCTTTCCATGGGTGTGGAGGATGAGAGATGGATAAAGAATATAATTGATAAAGACCAAAGAGACTTAAGGGGCTGCCCAATCCCTTGGCCAGAGGCAGGGGCAGGGAGCTTTATGAGCCCCTAGAGAAGCACAGATGGTTAGCACCTGGGCTCTATGTCTGACTGCCTCCTTTCTACCCATCAGTATTGTAGTATCAATTCTGTATCTTCAGTTCCACATGGCACCAAGATGCTTTATACTGTCCATCATTGAGTTTTTGGGCACTGTGTCTATGGCCAACAATGAGTCAGACCACCGGGGCTGTTCTGAGGCCCTCCCCCCAAGGCTTCGGGTCCAAATCAGAGCTATTCAGAGAGCCCAGGTAGGGCTTACCTGCCACAGTGGACACATTGGCTAACAGGTTGCACGGCAGCACCCCCGGTGACAAAGACACCATCACGATACCGCCATTCTTCTTCTGCAGGGGTGGACAAATGGACACTCAGCTTGGCCCCCAGAGCAACCACCTGCCTCTAGGCTCCTGTGAGGAATGTGTTCAGCTCTGGTTTTGAAGTCAGAGGAGACTTCACCTTTCTACACTCTAGGATTATGTGAATGGAGGAGTCTCAGCTCTGGTTGGTGTGGAAATGTCTTGACCATGGGGGGCTTATAGAGTAGAGGAGTATTTACCACTTAGAACCCCCCACACCTGGGATCAAGAATTCACGGGCTGTGGACTGTGGGTTTGTGAGGGCAGAAGATGTTCAGCCTAGGGTTTGAGGAAGTTGAGGGAACAGGGGTTCAGGTTCAAGGACTCCTGGTTTAAACCTTTTGTTTTAGGTTTGAGAGTCAGGGTAGTCTCTCACCAGAAGCTGCAGGATGTCATCAGGAATGTTCCTGGCATTCTTGCACACACCCCGGGCAGCTGAGTGGGAGAAGATCACAGGTGCCTGTGACACTTCCAAGGCTCGCCGTGCCACAGTGTCAGAGACATGGGACAAATCTACCATCATGCCCAAGCGGTTCATTTCAACCACCACTTTCTGCAGAGACAGGTTAGGGAAAGGGCGTCTGGGGTGCACATGTGCGTGCATTTATCTGTAGGAACTGGTGGGGCATGCACATTCATGCGGGGCGGGGTATGGAATCAGGGTCCTCACCTCACCAAAGCTGGTCAGCCCGCTGACACTGCTATAGAAGGGATGGATGCCCTTAGATGAGCTCTCTGCCCTGCAGGATGGCCAGGAGACAGTCTGAATGGTGGCCATGACTTGGCCACAAGAGCCTACTGAACTCTCTATACCTGCAACCCCCTGGAGCAACAGTAGGGACCCAAGTTGGGCTGGGCCTGGCAGGAGGGAGTCCCTACTGGGATCCAGTTTTGCTTTGCAAACCCCTGCTCCCCCCCCTTCCCCCACTCCAGGGTCAGTGCCAGATCCCAGGGGTAAAGCTTGGTCTGAGCCCCAGTGTGATCTTGGGCAGATCGCTGCATCAGTGGGTGCATACCATCTGCACTGTGCTCACCAGGGTGTGTTGCAGGTGTGAGTGAGCGTCAGGTAGCGCACACCCAGCACATAGAACGTACGCAAGACGGAAAGGCTATTGTCCAGCGAGTGGCCACCCTCCACACCAATGAGGCAAGCCAACTTCCGGGTATTGTTCAGAGCTGGGGGCAGGTAGGTCAGATGATCACTTTCAGAGGCTGGGGTATCTCAATCAAGTCCCCAACACCCCCCACCAGTCTACCTACCTTTAACTGAGGTCACAAGCTCCAACTCAGAATAGGAGGCACACATGCGGCGAATGAGGTCAATCTGCTCCAAGGTGAGGCGCACAGCATCCCTTTCCTGGGTCTGGCATGGGACGTAGGCTGACCAGAACTGGGGGAAGGCCAGGGGTTGGAGCTCCCTGGACTTCTCACAGCCTCCACAGCCCACACAGCAAATGGGGTCACATGTGATGCATTGCTTGTTTGGTGGTACTTGGATGCCCAGCAAACTGGTTCACTGCAACCCCTGTAGCCCCCAGCATCCATGTTGTAGAATTTTGGGGGGCCCTATGATAACTGAGTTTCCATGTGACTAACTCATGGTTTCTGGGGCCCCCACACTCCCTCTCAGCCATGCTATGTGTCCCTGTGATACCTGGGCACCCACGAGACCGTCTCTAAGCCTGTCCAGGCTGGTCTGGCCATGGCTGAAATTGCGCAGATTAACATCCTGTAGCCTGTTGCCATAAAACTGCCTCAGGACAAGGGGCATGTCATTGTGGCTGGAGGGAGAGCAAGGCAAGGTCAAGTCAGGGGGAAATGGGTGGGCTCCTTAGACCTTGGGATTAGGCAGGACATGGGGCCAGCAATGGGGGGGGGGA